TAAATGCCGACTCCTACTGTAACATCTTCAGGAAACTTCATAAGGCCATTGAACGGAAGCGACCAGGACTCCTCACCAAAGGCATGTTGCTTTTGCATGACAGTGCATGTCCCCATACTGCCAACAAGACAAATGAGACACTGCGAGATTTCAAGTGGGAAATCCTCGAGCATCCTCCATATAGCCCTGACCTTGCTCCAAGTGACTTCCATTTGTTTGGCCCTCTTAAACATCATCTTTTGGCTGAACATTTTCGTGACGATTAAGCTGTAGAAAGGGAAGTCAGCAGTCTAAAGAATTTTATGCTCCTGGTTTTCAGGGGCTTGTGAAATAATGGGACAGGTGCCTCAATGTACAGGGAGATTCATTCATTCATTCATCAGTAATCTGTCAGACGACAGGTCCACAATCTCTTCCAAAACAGTTCCTCCACTTAATGCGATCTTCTGTTTTTGGAAAGAGACTATCCAGGAAAAGTGATAATGTGGTAGTTTTTCCATTTGCTTTCCACATCGCAGTACAGCAGCCGTTCAAACCACTCTGGTCACGCCTGTTGCTATACGAACTTGAACCATCTCGAGCATCATTTGTTCTGTGCTTCAAGTCGCTACTGATGACGCTGCTTCCGGCATCAGTTTTTGGTGTCTCTCTTCGTCTGATGCCTACCCTTTGACCTGTCCAGCAAGGGAGGCCCTGCCAGTAGCTACGCTGCCGCTGGTATAGCTCTCAGGGTCCTTAGCATACTCAAACCCCCTCACCACGATAAGGCAACCAACGAGGGGGGCAGGGAGATTATGTTGAGAAATAAAAGCATTTTTCACATCAGTACTCTTATATGTTTAAGTTCTGTATCCATTTGTAACTTACTTACTGACTTACCCTCATAGTAGCATGCTGATGCAAGAACAATTAAGTGACTGAATGAGGATCAGTGGTTAGATCATCATTGCAGCAGGTGGTCGAGACTTGTTCTGAAAGATTGTCATAGGTGGTGGAACCTGGACCTGGCATTTCCTGTATGATCCTTGAAGTATATATTAATCTTTCTTGTGGAAGATATCATCGCCAAAAGCCATGAAGACCTAATAGGAATACTTGGAAAGGAAGATGATATCAGAAGTCTTTTACAGCTGGCAGGACAGAGGGGACTGCAGTATAATTCCTGATCATTCAGTTGTCATATTTTTTATGCTGAATGATATGAAACATGGCTTGAAAAATGTTTGAAAATCCAATACGTAGACATACTTTGGTCATCAGAAATAGATGTATCAGTATTTTGTGATGTCTTGCTGTGGTTCTTGCATCCACTTGGCATGCAAGATTCATTCCTTCCTGTTGTACCGTTTGTCATAAACATACAGGGAGATTGAAAAGTCGTGCACATCACACAAAGCAATCTTATTTGCTGGTTTAATGCACAAACTACAAGACATACAGCACTTACTGTTAATATTTATAACCTTACATCTTAGAAATGCAAAATCAAATCATGTATTTGATTTGTTTCATTCTGGTCCGTCACACTAACAAATTATAAAGACAGTAAAAACAACACAGCACACCATGAACAACACAGGATGATACCAAGAATCTCCTCAAGATAGACAGGCAGAACGAGATCACCCCCATCAATAAAGACGATAGGAGAAGGGACATGAATCTACATGGTTTATAAATTTTAACTTAAATAACAAACTTTTAAAAAAAATTTAATATACCAAGAAAGCTGCTGTAGTTGTGGAAAAGTTGGATTTTGTATATATTATGCATTACAAATATTATATGTATATGTATTTTAACACTCAAAACACCCATTGTGATAGTAGTTTCTAAAAAAGTATCGATGTCCCTCTGATGATGGTCTGTAGGGACTGAAACATGTAAGGGTGTTAAGTTTTTAAGTAGTAAAAACTTCAGTAGTCACACTTGATGGAGTTGTTTTGTCTTTGTAATCAAATCATGTCTTTACAACATATGCTTGAAATGGCTTCCCTGTTCAGCAATGCATGCACGAGCTCTTTTTACCATGTTTGAGGCCACTTTGTGGAGCACCTGTAAACTGATGCTGTTAATTGCCATCATAATGTTCCTCTTGAGGTCATCCAGTGTATGCAGATTGTTTTTGTAGACAATTCCTTTGAGCTACCCCCAAAGGAAAAAATCTGCGGGTGACAAATCGGGCGAACGCTGGGGCCACAATCCTTTCAAAATGAGACAGTCACCAAAAAACTCACACAAGAACTGCTTGGTTTCATTAGGTGTGTGACATGTGGCACCATCTTGATGCAACCAACACTCACGTTCATCATCTTCAAGAATCGCAATAAACTGTGTAATGATGTCTTGGTACACTGTACTGTTCACTGTTGTTTAAAAAAAAAATTGGGCCCACTATTTGACAACGTGATACAGCACACCACACTCCAATTTTCTGACCATGTGGATTCCCCGATGACCAAATCCTATTGTTTTGACTGTTCATGTAGCCACTAAGGTGAAACCATGCTTCATCAGTGAGAAACGACTGGCGAAATATTGTTCCACAATGAAAACTCGTTCTTGGGAAAATGACATGTCTGTCACGCAATAAATAAAGCTATACTGCAGACGTTGTATGACTGATACACGACAGATGGCATTTCTAATCGTTGTTAGTCCTCCTACAGTACCATCTAGTTGTAGGAGATATAATTATATTAACTGCAATACAATTTATAACAACTTTTAGTTTGATGTGCGTGTCTTTTCGATCTCCCTGTACAAGACAGGCATGTGGTAATGGCAAAATTTCAAACTTAAAAGAAATTAGTTGTTAAGATATCCTAATTAAGTTGATTGCAACTTGTTTTTCTGTGGTTTGCCACTTCCTCTGTGCTGCTGGTGAACAAGTGAAACTTACAGAATTCCGAAAGCCTACTCCCAGTTGCTGAGTCAGAAATTAGTTACCTGTCAAACGTTTTTGATCACCACTGGCGACCAGGAAGTCTTATTTTTGGCCACTGGTGTGAACTTTCTAGTGTGAAATATTTTAATGCTGTAAATAAAAAGTTTCTTTTGTAACAAAATGCATCATAATATCATTGGATTTGAAGGTATAGTGCAAATTTAAAGCCATATTTAATTGTTTTTGGTGATGGTGTGTAACAGAATGATGTGTTGAAACTAATGCTCATATTTATTAAAGCTGAAGTTTAAACTTCAGTGGAAACATGTGAAATGAACAGTGATCTTAAAAATTTTGGTTCATTCTGTAGCCAGTTCTGTAAGGAGGCAGAAGGGTAGAATAAATGAGAGTAAGTTGTTATTGTTCCAGTTGCAATGAAAAGAAGTGCATCATTACAGACTTGTTTCTAATGTTAGAAGCAAAAACTGTTGTTTGTAAGATATTTACACTTACTGTACCCAAAATGGGAAAGTTCACATTTTGTCACATGTGTTTTAATGACAGTTGGAGTTATTTCCTAGCATACTTTGGTTCCTGAGCTGGTTTTCAGAAGGGAAATCTGAACTATTTTTTGATTGATTTCCACGAACTTGGTAGGAAGGTCAACCTGATACAATATTTTGCAAAGCTTTGGTTTTATACGTTTATGTTATTTTATAATGTGGTGTGGAGTTCATAAGATGTTCTTCAGTTGATCTGTTGCTAACTGTTAACATTACATTTCTGATTTTTGTACTTTAATTTATAAATTATGATTAGAAATTTATAATTAATTCTGTAATTAAAGATATTTAATTTTTAACATATTTTTTCATACTCATTGTGTTCTTACATTCTCTATGCTTAGTTTTTAACTACTCTTAATCATATTGTGAACTCATAAATTTGTAAATCCTTTGTGTTTATAATTAATTCTTATGTGTTTATTGATGATTACTTACCAACTTCTTAGTTGTTGTACTTAGTATAATGACATTGGGAGATGCTTACACAGTCTGCTACCAATAGTCTAAGTGTTCAGTGTAATTATTCAGTTTATTTATAAGTTGGTCATTAATGTCACAGTTTTTGTATTCTTTATCTTTACTATTTGTAGAAACAGCACTTGGAATTTATAATTAATTCCACATTTATCATAAGATATATGACTTATACTGTATCCAACAGTCTTTCCAAACATGGATTTGTAGAATGCAAAATAAATTTGGAATGGTGTCAGTTGTTGTTCCTCTGTAGAAATGGGAGGCACTGTGACCATTTTTTGTTGTTTGTAGTTTAAATCTGGTATAATAATAGAACACTGAGAGAAAAAGAAAGTTCTTTTGGGTTATTGCTGAAGAAATAAAATAATATACGTTCTAAATGTAGATTCTCCTGCAAGTTTTATGACATTAGTGAACCACTCCATCCAGTAGATTCAGAAGGGTTCTGACAGTGTTGTATAATATTCATAATTACTGGGTTTTTGGACTTTGTCCATTATCTGGTATTTTAGAAAATATAAACTGGTTTTTAGAATACTAGGTACATTAAGTCTGAATAATGGTGAATGTCTTCACAAATTTTCTGAGCAACTTTCATCATTGCATGCTGAGAATGACAGATATGGAGATGACATGGATGTTTGAGGGTATATTTGGAAAATTTTCAATATTGAGGATCTGTACTGCAGTATTTGCACAAAGATAATTAAGTTTTATGTGAAATGTATGTTATTAATTTATTTGGGTTAGAACTTTTAAAGAAGGAACAAGTTTTTCCATCTTTTACGATTTAAAATAAGTTCATCCATAATATACTACTATATTCAGTTAGGTACTTATTATTCATGAAAAAATATCACAGTGAATCACAGTAAATGTTTAAGTTAGTTATGTTTCTTTTCATGATTTTGTCTTCCATTTCTACCATTTTTAGAACATATATCCATCATTTATTACTAAGTGTAACTATAGTATATAGTTTACAGCCAACATATAAAACTGTTGTTACTGGAGCAATTAGTTATTTTGTAAATATGTTATATGCGTGTCAGTGGAATGTTACATTACAGAATGAAGTGGATCCCCAGAAGAATGGGACAGTACATGACACAGGACTGGGAGTCGTGCCATTATTGGGTCCTCGACCAACCCGTGTATGGCCTGAAGATATTGAGAAAGCTGATCAAAATGCAGGAAACACATTGACTGTACAGCATGATGGAAGTGTAATTGTACTGAGCAAAGTTGATGCTGAGACTGTGGGACAGCATCCTCGAGAAGAATGTCAGGATATCTTGCTTATGGTAGAATTGAAGTACAAAGATGTGACAGAGCCACAGCAGTCAAAGGCTCCACCAATTACATATTCAGTGGAACCTCATGAAAGTATTATATCCAAAGCACAAACTCAGTCATTCACAACTGAAGCAAATAAAGTACACACAGTCACTTACACAAATGAGGTACCAACAGTCTCAACATCTAAAACTCATACTCTTTCGTACACTATAGAGCCACAGTCTGTTTCTTCTACCAAAGCTTACACACTAACCTACACGACAGACACACAACCTATTACTGCTGCAAAAACCCAAACTATTGCATACACTACTGAAACACAGCCTATTAATGTGTCAAAGATCCAGACATTTTCGTATACTACAGACAATATAAATAAACCACAGACAATTACTTACACTGCAGAACCAAATTCAGAGTCATCTGAAAAGACCCATGCGCTTGTTTATACAGCAAATCAACATCCTATGTCTCTTGCAAAGGCAGAAAATATAAACTTTACAGGAGAATTACAACCTGTAGCCTTAACAAAGGGTCATATGCTGTCATATACAGCTGATGAACCTTCTGCATTGACTGGTAAAACTCTCCTTACTTATGCAGCTGAACACAGTATAAGCAATGGTGCCAAAGCACACCTCTTGACATACAGTTCAGAACAGACACCACCAGATGCAACCAGCAAGACTCCAACATTAGCTTATACGGCAGAACTTCAACCCAGCACATTAGTGACCAAGTCTTCTCAAGTACTTGATGATGTAACAGAGATTCTGCCAGATACAAGCACCAAGAATGCATCACTTGGCTTCCCATCTGAATCACACGAAGTTCTGTCACTGGAATCCACCATACCTCAACAGACAACTATACTGATTGACACTGATAAGTAAGTCTTTAAAGTATGCATAATTGTAGTCGCTTTTCTTTGTTTATCGTTGTTGCGTTGGAAAGATGTCGTTTTTTTAAATATGATATACCAACATTTAATGAAGGGAATGAGAAAAGATGTGAAGAAACTCTTTCATTACAATCTCAATCCCCTTGGTTCTTACTGATCTGAAAATTGATTGCATACTTTTGACATTTCTCTAATGGATTCAGTTATAATTGCTACATAATATGCACTCATACCTGAGCTAATAGAAGAGAAGGAAACCATTAATATAAGCAAAGACCATTTACAATCCAATGTAGACTTCTCTGATTTTTCAGTGACATCAGTAAGTATTGTAAGCAAAGAAAGTAAGAACAGACACATATGCTAGTAATCTTCAGATCTAAAAGTTTATGATAATGGCATGTTGTGTTTCTGGAGATTATCCATTTTCCTGTTTTTTATGTAAAATACAAACCATTTTGGAGACTGGATTCTGTCTCCATCTTCAGGTGAAGCCTACTTAGTTGGGCCCAATGGATAGGGACTGGTGCTCTCAATTGGATTCAACTGCGTAGGTTTCATTTGAAGACAGACAGAATCCAGTTTCTGAAAAGTTGTGTTTTAAATAAAAAAATAGGATGGTGGGTAATGCCCAGAAACACAGTAATTATACTCATACTGAATATTCTACACATGAATAGTTGATAGTATATTATAATCCCCATCCTAGAAGCAAGTTATTCTGAATTTGTATGGTATTCCTGTCCTTTTCCAGGATGATGATGTAATATATTTCTGTGGGTTGTGGCCATTATCTTCCTCATTTTGATCAGTTTGTAAATCATCAGCCTAATTCTAGTACTGCTGCTGGTGTCATAAGTATAGATAAAAAGAAAGAATATATACCTGAAGTTATAGAAACAAAATCCTTGTCAAGAATAAGATCATTCTGTTCATTTTTCACTCCAGAAGCAATATTAAGCATGTGCATCAAGCATACACATACTGGCATCTAAGAATGTTTTTGAAAATTAGTACAAGGTAGATGATAATAGGTTACATAACAAAATTCTGGAAGTCCTGAACGTTATATTGTGTTTCACAGGTACAAGGGAACAGTTGGAGAGGGAGACATTAGTCCTTCCCGTCCAGAGAAACCATTCCCATGCACAGAGTGTGGCAAGTCATTCATGCGTCGCACTAACTTAAATGCCCACATGGGTGTGCACACTCAGGTACGTCCACATAGCTGTGAACAATGTGGCAAAAGCTTTGTGCTTCGTTGGGATTTAACACTACACCAACGCATTCATGCAGGGCTGTTCTCATGTGAGTTCTGTAACAAAGCTTTTAGTGTTCGTGGAAAATTGGAAAGGCATAGGCGAACACATACTGGTGAACGCCCATATCCATGCACCACATGTGGTAAAGCTTTTGGGGACAAACGCAACCTGGAGTCACATACACGTACACATTCAGGTGAACGCCCTTTTGTGTGTGGTACCTGCGGACGGAGGTTCCGTGTGCGCTCACATCTTTCAGACCATCGACGGGTTCATTCACAGGAGGCTCCTTATACTTGTGACGTGTGTGGTAAATCATTCAAATGGAAAACAAACCTAAACATTCACCTAAAGGTACATGCTGGTGAACGTTTTCCATGTAGTGAATGTGGGCGTGAGTTTGCTCGTCGAGCCGATCTTGCTAAACATCGGCGTTCTCACTCAGGTGATCGTCCTCATGTTTGTGGAATCTGTGGAAAGAGTTATGGTGACAAAGCCATGCTCCAAAAACACCTCAAATCACACAACGAACACAAACCATTCTCATGTGATATATGTGGAAAAAGTTTCCACTTCCATTGGTATCTCACTACACACAAAAAGACCCATGCAGAAGAAGGTACTTTTGGTTGTGTTCAGTGTGGCAAAGTTTTCAGCAAACGAGGTAATCTGTTGAGCCATGCAAAATGTCATGTTGTTGATTCTGCTGTTGGCGTGAAAACTCATCCTTCTGACCTTGAATCATCAGTGCTGCAGGAGGTAGCTCCAGGAGTTGAGGCCACCCTCTGAGATACCATTAGAGTATTAGTTTCAATAAGGAGTATGTATCTCTTCTGCTTACAAAATAAGTCTTGGTCTTAAAAGGGGTTTTTTTTTGCAATACCTAAAAGTTGTCTCATACTTTGCATTTTTCATTATGCGTTTAGAGTGATCTTGTTCATGTTCTGTTTATGTACTCCATACTGTAACAGCTTTCAGCTATAACTCTGAAAACATGCTGTACTTTGGAATGTGAAGTGGTTTTTGGAAGATGGACCTGTCAGTCTGGTTGGTTGCATTTATCCACACATTCAGTTAGTAAAGTTGCTGGTTATGGGCTGATTGATCAGGGGTTTATTCCTGCCTAGAACAGGAACTTTTATCCTTGCTGCAACATCCAGATTAGTCCTGGGACTCTTCCCACCTTTTTCTGTATTTCCCTGGGAGTGGAGTATCCACAGCATGAGGCTGACAACCTAGCTCCATCTGTTGCAGTGTGATGTTTAGACCCAGAGAACTTCACAGTTGTAAAGCACATATTCATACAGTCATCTTCAGCAAATGTGTTTATCTTAGATTGTACAACAGAATTGTAAACCTGACTTAATTTCATATTATACCTTACTGAGGATATATTATACCACACAGAGTTTCCATTATTCTTTTAGTTCCCAGTTTATGGAAACTTTGTGAGATTTGTAGTGCTCTCTTCTATCCTTAAGATGGATGCAACATATTCCACCAAAATATCAGTAATAATCTACCAGGCTACATGATATCACTTCCTAAAAGACAGTCTCATGGAAGACAGTATTCTTTATAGACACTTCATGATCAACTGATGGGGGCACACAGTAGCGTAGTTGGTTGAGGCACTATGCTACTTGCTGGAAGGTCACAGGTTCAAGTTCCGATGAGGTCATTGAATTTATTTCAATTGACCCAATCCTCGCAGCCACACGATGGCCCTGGGGTTGTCTCAGCCTCTAACAGAAATGAGTACCAGGAATATTCCTGGGGGTAAAGGGCGGCCAGCACGTAGGGCTGATAACCTTGCCGCCATCTATGAGCCAGTTGTCTAGAAAATGTGAGAACCTCAACATCTCACAACCTTATTGGCCATCATGGCCTGTTACAGGGATACCTGTACTTACTTTTACTTTTACACGATCAAGTGATTTCTTACAATCCTGACCTTAAGAATTTATACATTACTGTTATTTAACTTATTCCTCCGACCCCATTTCCATGCCAAGGACCCTGAGCTTCATTAGAAATGTTCCCATTAGTCTTATCCTGAAGCTCGCTTTTGTAAGATTATTTTAATAATATACTCCAGCTTGGTCCATCAACTGGTCTTATCACGTTTTCGTTTTAGTTCCTTGTTCCTCCATGCATGCTATGTATCAGTGTTCTAGATTTATTGAAGATGTTAGATTGATTTTATCATATAAAACATATCAACACACTAAGCAATCACAATAATTTTCTAGGTTCAGGTAAGGATTACTGAATTGTGGGCTGAGGAATCTTATGAATACAGATTTAGACTATTACGAAAATATGAATACATAAATTCATGAAAAATGAAGGGATGTTTTATACAATGAAATTTAATTAATCAAATAGTATTCTCTTTGTAAGTATATGTTGTAATTTTTGTGACAGTTACTGAAATTCATGTTCTGTTTATATTTTTTTAATGCAGGCTGGATGTGATTTAGTTTTATGAGCAGCTGTGATTTTTTCATATTTGTGGTTGGTTCCATGTATAGTTTGCTTGTTCAAAAGTGGTAATATCCCAGCAATCAAATATTATCTTGTAGTAAACAAGGGCAAATCAGAAGATGATCTAGAACAGATACAAAATGGAAGTAACGGAAGTAAAGATGTTGGGAATGAGAACAAAGAGGTAACTAACAATACAAGAGAATAAGGAAGTTTTCAATAAAATTTGTACATTATAGATTTAGCTAACGGATTAAATACTCAGTTGCATTGTACGTAGGTAGGCTGAAAAATAATGCACACATGTTTATAGAGCGTGAACGAAATGACCTTCAGAAGCGTGCTGGGTGGCATGTGGAAGTAACATTCCCCCTCAATACGCGTGCGCAGGTTTTAGGTCGTTGCGTTCATCCAGTGTATTTCGAGAAGCGGAAGTATGGAGACGTGTTCTAGTGCCATGTCAACGTGAGTTAAACAGCGTGCTGTTATCGAATTTTTAACTGCTGAAAAAGTGACTCCTACTGAGATTCATACTGGTGACGATGCTGTTGATAGATCTAATGTAAATCAATGGGTAATAACATTTCGTGGTTGCAAGCCTGGAAAAGCCATAATTGTTGATGAAACACACAGCGGACGTCCGATCACTGCCACAGACAGTAATCATCGCAAACTCGTCGACGATTTGATTCAAAATGACCGACGAATCACTCAAAAGCGTATCGCAAACATATTGGAATATCCAAGGAACGTGTCGGCTTCATTATCGAACAACTGGGATACCGTAAAATCTCTTCATGATGGGTACCACGCCGTCTCATAGACGAGAACAAACAGCGTCAATTGGAATGCTGCGAGTAACTTTTGCAGCGCTACCGTGATGAAGGATACGACTTTCTTTTGAATATTGTGATGGGGGACGAGTCATGGGTCCATCGTTATGACCCGGAAGAGAAAAGACAGAGCGCTCAATATTGACATCCGTCTTCTCCTCAGGCGAAAAAGTTCAAAAACAACCATCCGCCAAAAAACTTCTTTTGACTATTTTGGCATGCTCACTGAGTTTATGTGACCGATTTTCTGGAACGAGGGGCAACGGTAAATTCTTCAGTACATACAGACTCTAAAACACCTCCGGCGTCGAGTTTGTCGTGTTAGAGGCAGCCTGGTGCCAATAATCTTGCAACATGACAATGCTCGTCCGCACACCTCGCCCGCAACTGAAGAGGCTCTGCGAAACCTGAAGTTTGAACCGATTCCACACCCTCCTTATTCCCCCGATCTTACGCCTTGCGATTTTTATTTTTTTTCCTCTACTCAAGAGAGACCTCAAGGGTAATCATTACACCTCGGACGATGAGGTGAAGGCAGCTGTCAAGTTCTGGATTCGAGAAAAGTCGGAAGAATTTTTCAGTGACGGATTGAAAAAACTTGTTACACGTTGGGAGAAATGTGTTAGCCTTAACGGTGACTATGTTGAAAAATAAATGTATGCTTTTGAAACTTAAGAATTGTACTTTAATGGATCTTGCTATTTGTTTTTGTTCGCGCTCTACAAGCATATGTGCATTACTTTTCAGCCTACCCACATAGATTAATATAGGTGTAATAATTCATATATGCATTACACAAACAGATTCTCTGACTTAATAAAAGGTAAAGAAGTTTTTTGCTCTTTGTGTGTGTGTGTGTGTGTGTGTGTGTGTGTGTGTGTGTGTTTTGCATGAAATCATGCACATATCTAGAGTTCTAGTGTTAAGCTAGTCCTCTTGTTTGTAAAGAAATTTCTATAGCTTAAGAAGTGTGCTTGCCCTTACACAAGGTGAAAGGAGAAAACCTTAAGCCTAGTATATTTTTATAGTGCTTAATAGAATTGATTGAAATGAATCAGAAGAATTGAGCTCATCTCATTTGAGAAGTTCATAAAAAGTTTTTTTATTCTGTCATACATATATTACAGGTGTGAAACATCAGCACTTTCTTAATCCTTTTAACTGACTGCATGTCATTAACTCTCATTTTTCCATTAAAACATACATATACTGTGTGAGCAGAATATGAATTTGATTGTTTGAATGTCACTATTTTATTATTGAAGAGTAAAACTAATGAGTTAAATGTAAGATATATAAGAAAGCTAAAGATATTTAATGTGGGGCATTGGACACTAACTAAAAGACAAATATCCAATAATTTGTTCCCACATTGAACATAGTAAGTTTTAAGTGTTCATTTCATTTCCTAGCGAGGGAGATGGATGTACGGGGGAGTGAAACATGAGTGCCAGTAGGAATACAAGCTAGCACATTTTCAGTCATTTAATTATTTATTAGGATGTTTTTATTCCATTATTAATTATTTTAATTTAAACAAAATATAACTATTTTATGACATTTGTTCTTGTGATATATCAGTAGCTATGGTGATTAGCTGCAGGCTAGATGGCCAGGGAGTTGCAGTTTCATTCTTGGTAGGAGCAAGAGATTGTTTTATTCTTCACAGTATCGAGACCAGTACTTGGGACTTTATCCCTAGGAGTAAAGCAGCCACATGAAACTGGTCACTGTTTTTCATGTAGTACTAAGGTTAAGAATATGTCTTCTGGGTGTGTAGCTTAATTAAACACAGGGGTAGCTTTGCCTTCACCAGAATTTTACAATCTAGGGGATGTTGGATAGTACACGACTGAGAGATGGAAATCTAATTTAGTGACAGTACAGATATAGCTTTTAATATTGTGACATGTTGCGCAACGAAGGACCCCTACCTCCCCAGCGGCATGTGGCGGTAACGTAGCGCTCGCGTAATAGGCGAGTCATCACCCCGCCACTCTCCCCGCGGTGACGTCACGAGCGGAGCCAAAGTTAGCCCAGCCCCCGCAACCTGGTAGCTATGCAACGTGAGTTAACAGCGGTGACGTAACAGGATGACGTGGCACTCATTACGCAACAGGCAAGCACTGCGGCTATATAAGGGAACTGCACAGCAGCTACGAGTCAGTTGTACTGGGGCAGTCGCAGAGATCAGTAGTAGTCGAGCGAGAGTGTGTTATCAACAGTTCTCAAGGTAGCCGCCTGCGAGTGTGCGATAACTAAGAAGTCATCGAGCGGAAGACTTATTGTGTGCTTTCGAGACTTAGTGAGTGCTGTAGTACAGTTATATCTGGAGTGTGTAATTCAGGGAGATTTGTATAGCACCCGCGTTATTAGTACATGAAGACTTTGGTTGTAGGGTTTGTAAAGTGTGGAAACCCGCAACTGTGTTATAATTAATTGTAGCCGTTTCTTGTAGATTGTTGAATAAACCAATTAACGATCTCTACGGCGTATTCTGTAACGAAACACGTTACAATATTATAAATTATTATTAATGTGTTAGTCTGATAAATAGGTAAGTAACCTCATTTGTTACCTGAGTAACCTTTCTTATTTTGTATGTGAATTGGAGAAAAACTTGAGAGTTGCTATTTTGTCATTATTTAGTAGTCAGGGTTATTAGTTATGAATAGGTCCACCATGTCACAGTGAGAGATATGTATGCTTTAATCATCATTGCAGTTTTGACCTTTGCTCACATAAAATAAAATCTACTGTTTGTAACTTGCATTTTCAGTGAAATTGTGATTTAATGTATATGAGTGGCTCATTGGTATGGTTATCTGTGGGAACTGTAGAAGGGAATCTTTTGATTCTATGTTAAGATTCCACCCATTTGTTGCATTTGAGATCCTTCTGCATAGTGTGGTACTGCATATGAATATGAGGGGAGATTTCAAGATGTATATGGAAAGAAAGGGAGTCTAGGTGTTTCTGTGGAAATAATTACTATTAGTGAAATTTATGAAGTGTTTGTCAGTTTTCATCTTATATCTGAGGGTCACATCAGTCAAGCATCAACTATTATAGTTGAGAGTTAAATAAATAGAAGAAAAGAGCAGATTTTTTTTTTATTTTGTTTTTGTAGGCAGCCTTTACAGGAAACATTTCCTGTGCATATTATTATTCTATCATATTTAGTCTATCATTGTAAATGCAGATGTATTTCCAGAACTTCTCAAGTTCATATAATTGAGTGTGTTTGATGAAGTTTGTTTTTAGCAATTTCCTATTGAAATTTCAACAGGCTTCATGCTAGTCTTGGATGTAAGCAATGAATTTGACTTTGGACACCTTAAGGAAA